CAAACAAACATTCCCATGGCATTTAAAACACAAACCCTTAAGTTAGCTCAATCAGGCATTTCATCAAACACCTTATGTGTGGAGAAATGCCTAAGTTCTAGACCAGAGTGATAATCAAAGATCTAGCATTAAGAGCAGCTAACTAAGGAAAGGAAATGAGAATCTAGAACCTAAATACCATAAATCAAACATCTAAGCACCCTAATCTACACACCTAGAAGCTTAAAAGAAGACTACTCACTAATCATGCTTAACACACCTAGAATCTTTTGCAAGAGGTGTAAACATGATTAGAAGCAAAGATAAGAAGAGAAGATGATAAGAAACAACTTTACATTGATTAAATCCTTGAGATATCTCTTAACAAAATCTGGGTTTTCACAAAAGAGGCCAAGAGAAAAGAGAGAATAAAGCTTTTTAACAGATATTTCCTAAAGCATATATATATAGGTAAGGTTTTCTTGATGGGCCAACCCAGAACAAACTAGGTACTGGCCCAAAAAGGCCATAAAACACGTGCTGAACTAAAGTAGTATCGACCTGATTTCAGTCGGTGCAGGAGCTCGGTGTGGTGTTAAAAAATCTCTGAAATTCAACACCAAGCAGGTTTCACTCGGTGTAACTCCTCGGTGCAGTGTAATGAAGGTCTTTAGGGGGCCAATACCGACCAGAATTGTGTTGGTGCAGCATCTCGACATATCTTCGGCGTTTGAGCTCCCAAAATCCAAGAAAAACCGTCAATGGATCAAGGTCATGTCGACCAAATTCTGGTCGGTATTTCTTCTCGATATGAATGCAAACCGCTTGCACAAAATCCTTCACAACTCCCTGCTCGCTGGTCCAAACCTTGATCGGTCAACTCCATGAGCCAGATGGCTCCTTCATCTCCAACTTTGGTGAATTCAGATGACGTCGGAAAGGGCTCCGTTCCACTGGTTCTTTGATGCGCGTTGCTTTGGTCCTTCATCCGCTCCGAGACATGTACTACTTCTTATCGGCGTAACTTTCAGCTCACAACTCCAAATAGAACAATCTCAAGTGTTATGGAAACTAAACTCGACTCTCTTGATTCTTTATGAAGACTCCGGAGGCTGAATCCTGGTTCAAGTCATCCTTGTCAGGTGATAAAGTTGAGGGATCGTCGGCTCCATAACACTTGTCCGAGTCTGATGCACATAAGGTGATGGTCTCTCCATGGCTTTTGTCCCAATTGCTCCTAGTTAGCTCCAAATGACCTGTAAACACTCCAAAAGTGCAAAACTCTCAAGGACCTAATGCAATCCCTAAACAAAGCTAGAACCAAAGACAAACTCGAATAAAACTAGCTAAATGTATGCATGAGACTCAATATTTGGACAAAAATGGAATCCTAAAAATGACAAAATATGAGTATATCACACTTCGATATCAAATTCTTGCTGGAGCAGAAACCACCTCAAGAGTCTAGGCTTGGTGTCCTTCTTTGTCATGAGATATCTGAGGGCTGCAAGATCAGTGTACACAATAACTTTTGATCCCACAAAGTAGCTTCTTAATTTATCAAATGCAAAAACTATGGCAAGCATTTCCTTTTCAGTGGTTGCATACTTTTCCTGAGTAGAATCAAGGGTCCTACCGGCATAGTAGATTACATGAAGTTTTATGTCCTTCCTCTAGCCAAGCACAGCTCCCACTACATAGTCTGAAGCATCTGTCATCACCTCAAAGGGCAATGTCCAATCAAGAGCCTGGACAATTGGTGTACTGATCAATGCCTCCTTGATCTTCTTGAAAACTTCCTCACACTCAGCATCAAAGACAAATTCAACCTCTTTGCACAACAGCCTTGTCAAAGGCCTAGCTATCCTTGAGAAGTCTTTAATGAACCTCCTGTAAAACCCTGCATGCCCAAGGAAGCTTCTTATCCCCTTGACTGAATTTGGAGCTTGCAGATTCACCATCACTTCCACTTTTACTCTATCCACCTCTATTCCAGCTTCTGAGACCTTGTGCCCCAACACTATTCCCTCTTGTACCAAGAAGTGGCACTTCTCCTAGTTGAGAACCAAGCTGTGCTCCTCACACCTCTCCAGGACCTGAGACAGGTTAGCCAAACAAGAGGAGAAAGAGTGTCCATAGACTGATAAGTCGTCCATGAAGACTTCTACTTTCTCCTCAATCAGATCCGAAAAATAGACATCATACAACGCTGGAAAGTAGCAGGAGCATTGCACAGCCCAAATGGCATGCGCCTATAAGAAAATTTCCCATAGGGACAGGTGAATGTTGTCTTCTCTTGGTCTCTTGGATCTATTGCGATTAGAAAGATTCCAGAGTAACCATCTAGAAAACAAAAGAAGGGATAGTTTGCAAGCCTCTCTAGCATCTGGTCAATAAAAGGCAAAGGAAAATGGTCCTTCCTAGAGGCTGCATTAAGCTTTCTATAATCAATACACATCCTGTGTCCAGTTATACTTCTTGTAGCTATTAACTCATCCACTTCATTCTTTATCACTGTCATTCCCCCCTTCTTCGGAACCACATGTACTGGTGAAACCCATCTAGAGTCTAAGATTGGATAAATTATCCCGGCCTCTAGGAGTTTGAGAATCTCTTTTTTCACTACTTCTTTTAAGTTGGGATTGAGACGCCTTTGGTGCTCAATGGATGACATAGATTCCTCTTCAAGGTGAATCCTATGAGTGCATAGTGAGGGTGAGATACCGTTTATGTCATCCAAAGAGTAGCCAATGACTCTCCTATGTTTATCAACTCTTCTAACAATTTATGCTCTTGGTCCTCTAACAGCTTATCATTGATAATGACAGGCTAAGACTCATTGAGACCTAAGAAAGCATACTGAGCCCCTTTGGAAGAGGTTTGAGTTCCAGCTGAGGTGCCTTAGACTCATCCCAATCAGCACTGAAACTGTATTGCATGGTTGCAGCTCCCTTGTTGCCAATTTGCTCACACAGCCCAGCCCGCTCCTCCACTTTAGAACCCACGGCCATGACTCTTTAAACCGCTACTTGGCTTGTATTTGAGCCTCTGATATCTAATACCTCAAGGCTATTTTCTTCCAATTCCAAAAACCTTGCCTCAGAGCCAAGTTCCCTTGCATTGTCCAAAAACAGCTTGTACCCTTCACTCTCCTCTGCCAAGAACCCGTGGTCTCCTTGTTCTATGGTTAAAGCAACTTGAAGAGGATCATCAGTATTCAATTCCTCAATCAGTTCATAAGCTAGATATTCCATGGTCTATACATAGAAGCATTGTCCTTCTATGGTGGCCTTTTTCATCATGTCCTTGATATCAAACTTCAGCTTTTCTTTACCAAGTTGTAGCTCAATGATGCCACCATTTACATCAATGATTGCTCCTGCTGTGGCCAAAAATGGTCTGCCCAAAATCAGTGGATCAACAGGTTCTTCATCCATCTCTAGAACAACAAAATCTGTAGGCACTTCAAAACCACCTATCTTGACTGGTAAGTCCTCTAACATCCCAACAGGCAGCCCTACTGATTTATCAGCTAGGACAAGAGAGATTCTAGCAGGTTGGAACACTCTGTATCCAAGCTTTCTTGCTATAGAAAATGGCATTAACCTGACAGATGATCCCAAGTCACAAAGGCAGCCAGCAAATATCAGTGGACCTATGGCACATGGGAGAGTAAAGCTCCCTGTATCAGACAGCTTACTAGGGACTGAACTTCTCTGAATGATGGCAGTACACTCATGGCTAAGCACCACCATACCCTGTAGCTCTTTGGTTTTGTTCAAGATAGCATCTTTTAGAAACTTTCCAAGCTTAGGCATCATCAGAAATGCTTCAATGAGAGACATTGTAAGGGGTGTTTCATTAAGAGTCTTCTCAAAGAGTACCCTTGCTTTATCTACAAGCTGCTTCTTGAATCTTCCTGGATATGGGAGCTTAGGTTGATAGGGAGGTGGTGGAACATAAGGCTTTTCTGGTTCTAATGGCTTTTCCACCCCTTTGTCCTTCCTTTTCTTTGATCTTTCAGCTTCTTGATCATCCCTTGGCGCTGCCTCCTCACCAATTTGATCATTTTCCTGAATGATCACATTGTTGTAGTCTATACCTGGTAGCTCTTTGCCACTTCTCAATGTAATGGCTTTAGCATACTCCTTTGGGTTTGGTTCAGGCTTATCAGGTAAGCCACCTTGGCTTCTTGAAGTGGATGCCTGATTCTGTTTCAGCTCCTTGATGTCTTGCTGCATAGATGCATACTGACTTGCAAACATTTGTTGACCCCGAAGCAGCTGTTGTAGAATCCCAACCATTTCTGGCCCCATCTGCTGCTGCTGGTGAACCGGTGATGACTGAAACTGACGCTGAACCAGCGCTTGCTGCTGAACTATGGTGGACTGAACCCTGGTGGTGTTTTTGGCTGCTGATGCTGTGAGGTGAAACTAGAACCCTGAAGTGGTTGCTGTTGATGCGGACTGTAACCCTGATTCTGAACAAACGGATTCTTAGGTTGAAAGGACCCTTGAAATTTGTTCTTGGGAACAAAATTCTTTGGAGCTTGAGAGGTAGGGTAGACTTGGTCTTGTGGGTTGGTTACATTGGGATTCCTGTAAGAGAGGTTCTGATTAGCATTGGCATATTGATATCTTTGGAACCTCTGATTCCCAATATAGTTTAGCTCTTCCTGAGTAAGACCCTCTTCACTGGTGTTCTCAAAGCATTGAGAAGGTTCCTCAAAATCTCCTATAAAGTGCATTGGCTTTTGAGTGGCCAATTACACCTTGTCCAGCTTGCTTTCAAGTGTTTTAAAGTCCTTCTCATACCTTTGATCCCTGCTTGAACTCTCACTCTTATTGGCTCTATCAAAGTCTTCTCCATAAGTGTCATTGCTCATTGCTAAGGTCTCTACCAGCTCTAAAGCAGCATGAATCTCCTTCCCCAGAAAGTTACCATTTGATGCAGTATCCAGCTGATTTCTGATCTTGGGAAGAGCCCCTCTATAAAGAGTGCTGATAAGAGAAGCCTCACTAAACCCATGGTGTGGGCACTGGTTTGTGTAGCTCCTAAATTTCTCCCATGCTTCACCAAAACTCTCATTGCTTTGTTGAATAAAGCTGGAGATCTGGTTTCTCAATTTTGCTGTTCTGGAAGTTGAGAAGAACTTAGACAGAAATGCCTGCTTGCATTGCTCCTAAGTTTGAATGGAGCCTCTTGGAAGATTCTTCTCCCATTGGTGTGCTTGAAGCTGTCCTCAGATACTCCATTTATCTTTGTCAAGTCACAAACTTTATCAAACTTGTCCAAGTGTTCCAAAGGATCTTCCATTGGCAATCCATGGAACATTGAGTTTTGGACCATGTTCAGTAAAGATGCTTTCACTTCAAAATTGTTGTTCTGCACCGGCGGTGCTTGATTCCCTGCTCCATACTGATGAGCATTGGCCCTATAATTTTCCCCAACAAACACAGGTGGAGGATCTTGTCTCTTTTGAGCTTGATGCTGAGGAATGAATTGAGCTTGTTGCTCATTCCTATGAGCCTGTTGCTGATTCTGCTGAGCCTGCCTCTCATTCCTTTGTGCCATGTTTATATTGACAAGGGCTTGTTGCTCATTTCTGTCAGCTTGAGCTTGATTCCTTTGAGCTCCCTTACCATGCTGAGCCTGTTGCTCCTCTTGAGCCTGGTGCTCAATGTCAACCTTGTGGTGCTCTCTCTGTTGTTCCACATCAGCTGCTCTATCTGTTTCCCTTGGACGTCTATCTCTTCTTCTTGGCACTAAGAGATTGATGTTGTCGTTCAAAGGAAATGGTGGACCACAACTTCTTGACCTTGATCTGGTGTTCATACACCTGAAAACAAATCTAGCTTTTGGTGCATAAACCTCTAATACAGCTCTTTCAGGAATTTCATCAAACACTTTTGGTGCATGAAATTCCCAGATTCTAGATCACAAGTGATGTGCAAGGATCTACCTTAGAGAACAGTTGTTTTGATAGATGAAAGCATGAATCTAGCCCTAAGCACTCCTAATCTAGCACTTTAGCACCCTATCCTACACATCTAGAACCTCATTAAGGAGACTACTCACTAATCATACTAATCTCTGTTAAACCTTTGCAAGTTGAGAAGATTTTCATGATTAAATGGATGGAAATGAAGATGGAGAAAATAGATTAAGAAGGAAAACAGCTGTAAACACAATGATTTCTGATTCTCTCTTGATTAAAACCCTTAAAAATCGATATTTCTCTTCTTAAAAGGAGTCTTTCACAAAAGAGGCAATGAAAATTAGAGAATAAAGCTTAGTCCTTAGGGTAAAAACCCTAAAAAAATATATATAATGTCTCCTGCAAAAAATATATATAATAGGTAAAATCTCGAGTGTTCGAGTTGGTCAGGAGCTTCCCATCTCGCAGGAACAAGTCGCACAGCCAAAGAAACAGCCTTGTGAGCCTTAAGTCCTTCAGCCTCAGTTGCATTCCCATCTAGGTGTAAACCGCGAGTCTTTATGCGATTCAGTTCTTTCCTCTCTTCATCTTGCACAACCAAGACGCAATCTGGGGAAAATATGTGTGCGAGTTGTTCCTCTGTTAGTCCCAAGTCGCATGCCCAACTCGTGCAAGTCTAGAAAGGTGTTTTTGCGAGATAAAACTCTGTAAGCCAAGCCGCATTCCTCTCTCAGTGTAAACCGCGAGTGTTTGTGCGATTCAGGCTCCTTTGCTCTCTTGCTCGCACAACCATGTAGCACAGCACTTCAAGTATGTGTGCGGGATGGTCTACTTCACTCCCAAGTCGCAAGCCCAAGTAGGTGTAAACAGCGAGTGTTTGTGCGGTTCAGTTCACTGCTCAGCCAACTCGCCTGCTCAAGTCGCACACTTGTGGACTTAGCATTTTTCCTGCTCGGGAGCCTTTGACCTCACCCAGGGTTACCTTACCCGCACATCTCCACTTGCAGCTCAATTCCCATAATTTATACTTTAAGTGCTGCAGGTTAGCCAAGTCACAAAACCATCTCGCAGACTTCAAATCTTCTCGGACCACTTTGCATTCGGGGGAGCCTAACTTCCGGGATATAGTTTCAAATGGCTTGATTCCAACTTCAGTGGAAATAGCACTCAAATATCTCAAACTTTGGTGAAGAAACCTTCAGCGCTCGGAAAGTGGAAAGTTCCCTAGACGGCTCATCTCTGCGGTGCATTGAAAGGATCAAAAAGAAGCTCTTGGACGAGTGTTCAATCCGGAGACGGTATCTTTCAGCACATATCTCCAAACTGGATGATCTCAGATGTGATGGATAAACCACCCAAAGATTTCAAATCTTGATGAAGACCCCGGCAACTGAATCAGACTGGAAAGGCATCGTCCCACGCAATCTTTGTGACTCATTGGATCAGTCTTGAAACTGTAGCGAGACAGGCGTGCCTTCCGGTGAGCTTTAAAAAATAGCTTTAACAAAGGACCATGGTGAGCATGGCTATCTATAAGATCAGACCTTGGGGTTTATGAAGCTTCTTGACTCTCACAAACCAGAAGGAAGCACTGATTCTTTCATGGAGTTATATCACGGAGCTCTAGAGAAGCCATTAAACTGGTTTGGAAACTCAGATTTGTCAAGGGAACATGTTCATACCGACCAGATTTCAGTCGGTATTCAACTCGGTGTAGAGGAGGTTCAGAGGCCGAAGATATATCGACCAGCCACACCAAGTGAAATGAAGTCTGTGTCTCAAAAATCTGTACAAGGAGCCGATGTTTTAACCCATACCAAGGTGAATTCAGTCGGTGTAGAAGCTCGGTGTGACAGGGTTCAAAAAGCCGAAGAAATATCGACCTCCTACACTGAGCACAATCAAGTCGGTGTGAACATGACGGCTACCTTGGAAATTGGTTCTAAAGAGGGTAAAGACAAGGTTCAAGGGCAAGGAAGCAAAACCAAAGAAGCCACAACAGAGGATAATTCAAAAGAAGCTGACCAAAGGAGCTTCATGAAGGATTGGGATGAGTCTAAGGCACCTCAATTGGAACTCAAACCTCTTCCTAAGGGGCTCAGGTATGCATTCTTAGGTCTCAATGAGTCCTGCCCTGTGATCATAAACGATAACCTGTTAGCTCATGAAGAACATGCATTGTTAAATGAGCTTAGAAAGTTCAAGAGAGCTATAGGTTATTCATTGGCTGATATTAGAGGTATCTCTCTGATAACACTGGATTTCGATCATTTTTATGGATCACTTTAATGTCTTTTACAGGTGTTTTTACTCTATTTTCAAAGGTTTTCAAAAGATTTCTATGTTTTCGGATTTTAAAAGACTTTTCAGGTAATTTGGGATAAAGAGGCACAAATTGGAACAAAAGACTCTTTTGGATAAATGCAGACCGTCAGAACTCTCATGGAGAGACGAAGACCTTCTCACCGTCTGATCACCCTCAAAATTGGACCGCTTATAGAAGAATCAACCAGATTTCAAATGCACTTGGTTTGGAGACATTCCAACGGTTGGATCTCAAGATATTCCATTAGCCCCAGAGCCACTCGAATACGGCCAGCAAGTCACGCGACCACGGCCAACAGCCCATTCTCCGCGGTCACAAGCCTCCTGATCGCGGCTAGCCACCTATTTCCCGCGGTCACGTCATTCCCGACCGCAGCCGGCTAACTCCGAACTAAAGCCCATATTTCTGAAGCCCAAAGTCATTCTCAGCCTCAATTTCGGAACCCTAGAGACCATGGAGTATTGAAGAATATAAATACTTGTCATTTATGTCGTTTTTAGACACCACCCTTCATACTTTACAAAAACCCTTTTTCCTTTAGCCGTTTTTATGCGATTTTTGTAGAAAATTGTTCAAGTCCGAGTTCTTCAATAGAGAAGCTTTCTTCATCTCTTTTCTTTACTGTTTTTGATTACTTTTATTAAAACCAATGATGCTGTCGACCTCAGCCATGTCTGAGTAGATCCCGAGTTGGGCTTAGGGTTCCCGAAAGGGGCTCTCATAATCTATTAAGACATCTAGGTTTATAGATCTGGGATTTCAACTTTGTTCTCTGTTTATTCTTGTTCTTATTGCATGTATGCTTGATTGATCACCTAGTATCTGACCTAGATAGTTAGTGTTGTGAAAGTTTTCATTAAGTATCAGCCCTAGAATGAAACAGGCAAATTTTCCGTAGGAGTGGAAACCTACCTGCGGCGAGATCGTGAGTATTGACGAGTCTTGTGCAGCTCTTGCGTTCTCTCCCTTCCAGGGCCAGAGTGGAAACCTACTGGTCAGGGTTGTGAGAAACAGTTGGCTATGATCACGACAGTGACGTAGTCATACCTCCGTACTCTAGCTCTAGAACCCTATATATCGATATCCGTCAATCCCAATCTATCTACCCTAGTGTTAAAACCGATTATGATCCCTGTAGAGTTCCCAAAAGCTCAGCGTTTTTAGCCATAGTTTACAAACCAATCGATTTTTACTTGCTTATTTAGATCTCAATTTCAATTGCTTTAGTTCAATATTTTGCTTGCTTGATTTCCTTTTCATTCGATTTTTCTACTTGTTCCTTAGGATAGATTTATTTGCTTTCTTTTGTTTTAGTTTAATCCGTGAAAATAAAACAACCTCTAAAACCAATCTAGTCTAGACATAAAGTTAGAAACCGTAGAAGAATACCAGACACACAAATCTCTGTGGATTCGATCCCTAAATACTACAACTGATTAGCTGTGCACTTGCGGCTTTCATTTGTTTTTGTTAAGGGTAAAACTTGTTCCCTCACGCAGTTGACACGCATCAAGTTTTTGGCGCTGTTGCCGGGGATTTGTTTCGCTGCCTTTTGCTATTTTTCTTGTTTTAACTTCTGTTCTAGACACCTGATCTCTAGTTCTTTCTTAAAGTTTTGCTGAATTATCTTTCCCTTCTTTTGTTTTTCTCTGAATTGCATGAATACCAGGCGCAGACCTGTAGAAAACATTCCAATTCTAGACGAGATAGACAGACACGAAAGAGAACTTCGAAGACTTAGACGAACGCAAGGAATGGCCAATGACGACCAGCCTGGAGTTCCTATTAACCGTGCTTTAAATATGGACCAAGACGGGTCCGAACATGGAGAAAATGAAGAGAATGATCACAGAGGAGGTGATCA